TGTGTGTGTGTGTGTATATATATATATATAACCAATGTTGAATAAAATGGGAAAATAATCTCACAACTCTTATAGCAGACAGCATGTTGCTGTTTCTGAGTGGAAAACAGTGTGGTTTAATAGAGTTGGATAGATCCTCACATCTTGGCTTTCCAGTTCTGGGACTACAGGGAAATTACTTAATCTCTTTGAGCTTCAACTTTCTCATCTTTAAAATAACAATCCCATACCCACGGGCCTGTTTTTATGATTAAACCATCTTATAGTAACTACTCATTAAATGCTAGGCTCCCCTCTTTCCTTCTTATATCTTTCTTTTTCCCCCCCCCCGCCGACAGTTCTTCTGTCATTTTTCTATTATCTCCAATATTTTAAGTCCATTTTGAATTCCCTACTTTTTCACACTCTCTTAGTTCAGAAAATGAAAGAAGAGTGCAAATTTGCATCTTGGGACACATGGAAGTTTATACTCTTGGAAAATTAAAGGAACTTTTAGCAATGATGTAGAACTTTCTAACGGTGGGTAAAACAATGGAACCATGAGAGGTAGAGGTAGTCCCAATCATATATTTTTCCAGGTAAGTATGACAGAAACTAAAAAGAATCAGAAGGCGAGATGTTTGCATATCTTCATGTTCACCAACATGCAAAAGCATTTTAAACCTAAAGTTCCTTCATGCAATGGCATGCAAAACCAAATGCAGCACAGAATGAAGAAAAGGGGATCAGCAAAGAATGCAGAAGGTTCCAGGCAACCAACTGAAATAAGCTTCAAGTTCATACAAACCTCCAACATTAAATTGCTATGTCTGATATAAATGTTTTCACCATCTAGTCTTTCTCTCTTTTTCTGTGAAAATGAAAGGGGGGAAAAACAGAAAAGCATAAAAAATTAAAATGTTGTTCTTGCGGGAAAAAACTGAAAATTGGCAAACCAAAAAATATTTAAAATTAAACGTCCACAGCGCAGCATATGCCAACGTGAAATGGTCAGAGTCACAAGGACACACAGAGAACATGATTACCACGAGAAAACGATGACCTTGTTCATGAATGATGAAAGAATGTGATGATGTTATTCAAATAGACAGTGCTCCTGGCTTCATTGGCTTCTTATGTAACAAGCTGTTTTTTTTGTTTGTTTTTGTTTTTGTTTTTTCTTGAGACGGAGTCTCGCTCTGTCGCCCAGGCTGGAGTGCTGTGGCCGGATCTCAGCTCACTGCAAGCTCCGCCTCCCGGGTTCCCGCCATTCTCCTGCCTCAGCCTCCCGAGTAGCTGGGACT